CTCACACAATAACTAAGTCCAACGAGAAAGGGGCGGAGTTGAACTCACCTTGAATGGACGATTGGATGACCGCGGACGTAGGAAGTACCACGGACCTCTGATAAGAAAGGGGCGATGAGGATGAGGATGACAAAGGCGTGCAGGGAGGAGCGTAAAAGGTGTGGTACTACGCAAAGGTTCCTACAATGAAGGAATAGGACAAATTAAGTTACGAAATGTATGAACATGTGCATTACAGACGCAACAAAAGAGCACGGCTTCATAGCACTGAATAAATGTACCGGAACTATAAACATCTCCCTCAAGTAAAAACATAAACAAGCACAATATAGTCCTAAGTCACTAGAAGAGTTTAATTTGATCCTATAGAAGGTATCAGCCAAGAGTACAAGCATGAACAGAAAGTAACAGCCAAGAGTCACTAGAAGAGTTTAATTTGATCCTACTTTCATGACATTGTTCAATTGCATCTAATATATGCACCTTCTTCTTTTGCTTAGGTACTGATTTCATCATATACATGATCTTTCTTGAACAGAAAGTAACAATGCTGTAACCTCACATGATCACATAACACATATAATCTAAGCCTCAAAAATACTACTGCATCTCCTGTATACAGAGTGGACAAAGTGAACTGTGATTTCTGCCATAGGGGTCGAATGTAGAAAAAAAAATGGACATAAGCAGGTTAGTAAGATATCGATTAATACCATTCATATTTTATAAATGAAATAGGAAGCCTGGCCAAGTAGTGTGTATAAATAAAAACGTACATAACCTGTGAGTCCAATTCATTTAATTCAAACATCTTTGCCAATCTAAGGAGGATTCTAAGTTGACTCTGCCCTATCACAAAGGAAATGCACACAGATCCGGAAGTCTTACCGGCTGTGGCGGTGGAGACGACGACGACCTTGGCGGCCACGAACCTGGCGGCGACCGACAAACGGGGGGACCTAGTTGCAGGAGCACGACGTCGAGGACGGATTTGGAGACGGGCTGATCTGAAGGGTGAGCGCAGTTGGGGATACGACGGAGGCTGACTGACGGAGTTGGAGGCGGCGGATGCGGGAGGTGCAGTGGGCGAGGTCGAAGGCGGAGGATGTGGGAGCTTCGATGGGAGGGGCCGACCTAGGCTGCGGCGGATGCGAGAGGTCCGATGCGAGGTTTGGAGCTTGGCTGTGGCGGCTGCGGGAGGTCCGATAGGAGGGGCCGAGCGTGGCTGCGGCAGATGGGGGAGCTCCGATGGGATGGCGCGAGCTTGAGGGCGGCCGGTGCGCGAGATCGGAGGGGAGGGGGCGATGCTGGCGTTTGCGGGAGGTGGCTGGTAAGGGGGAACCCTAGGTGACGCGAGCGAATGGGAGAGGGAGACCAGCGGCGGCCAGCCTGGTATATATACCAGCTGGTCTGGGCTGAAATGATCAACCCACTCCAGCCACTTCTAGCCGAGCCCCAACCAGCCGAACATGGTGTTTGACTCACGGACGGGGTGTGGCTGCTGCTGAGTGCTGAAGAGCAAAGCAGCGCAGGTTGGCTCTGCCTCAGATCACTCAAATGCGCGCGCACACACACACATATATATAACTACTGTTCTGCAGCTAGCCATAGAATAATTTATTCTGTGGCCAGCTGCAGAATAATCGTACCCTAGTTCCATATACGGCCTTGGTGGTGACTTAGCTGCTGCTGAGTGCGGAAGAGCAAAGCACGGGGATATCTCTAGTTTCATATACGGCCTGATCGTTGGTTGGTTTTTGGGTTGAGTCCAACTGATGCTAGTTTGTTATGAGAGAAAAATACTATTGGCATTAATAAGCTTCGACTAAAACTAATGAGCGAACAATGCTAAAACTGCGGTAGTACTTTGTTTCATCTCTTTATGGCTTAAAAAAGCGGGGGTCCAAAAGTGGCTTTTAGGGAAACCGGAACGGATGCCGGAATGCAGGCGTTTGTGGAGAGCACGAGAGAGGAATCGATCCTGAGAATCGGACCAAAGGTGATCGCATCGCCGGGCCGGCCGGCAAACACGAGCCCCGGTCTAGCATAGCATAGGGACCCTGGTGTACGACGGCACGGCCGCTTGGGCCATGGAGCAGAAACCATTCTTTGGTTTCTTCAGATGTGCCAGTCCCAACACTGACCGGATGGTCCAGAGGCCTGAGCTAAAAGAAAAGAAGGCGGAGGAATAACGAATAATCTTCTTCGTAAGCAGAAGCACACCGTCATCAGCGAGTGATGGTGGGCTGATGGCCGCCCCCAAAAAAAACTGAGGCCGCCTTTCGCCGACGGCGTCGTGGTGTGGTGCCCATGGACAGGACCACCCCCACTAGTGCCGCAAATTAATCCGAGCAACGGCGCGTAATAAGCTCCTCTGATCGATGCAGCGAGATTGAAGACCACCGCGGGCGTACGTGGCAACCAAATAGTAATAATATTACTACGCACGCGAGAGCGACCTGCCACATGCGTGTCACCGCACCGGCTCGCGCTCGCCCAAGGGAAACGGAACGGAGCATGGGCGGCCGCATGCGTCGAGTGACCGAACCGAACTACCATGGCCGTGCCCGCTAGGGAGTAGGGAGGAAGGAGGAGAAAGAATACTAGGCCTCTCCGGTTGGGACGTCCGCGTCAAGGAGAGGCGTCAGCCGTCGTCAGGTCACTCCGGGCCAGGAGGAGACGCGCCAAGCCCGCCCGCATCGTCGGCGCGGCGCAGGGGCGAGTGCCGAGGACGTCTTTTCTTTCTTTCTTTCTTTCTTTTAAAAAAATAATACAAAAATACTGCTAGTAGTAGCTCAAGTGCTCAGTCTCCCCCTCCATATACGCTATGTGCAAAAAAGGAGCTGAGGCTAATGTGTCGTTCCACTGCTGCCTGCAGAGAACATTCCATTTGTTTAGACAGTGGACTAGCGTGGAGCCAACACCGAAGTCCGTTGGTTCCCTAAACAAGGGGGGAGTTTGCAACTTAACTTTTTTACCACCCACCTGTGCTCCGATCCATCGCTGATCTTCTCAGCACCGTTCTTGTCTTGGGACCTCACTCGCCCCGAACACGTTGTGTGCCTGTGCCACGGGAAATGGTCCGTCCTCCGTCGTCAGAAAACACGGTTTCTCCACCACCACCAGGTCCAGGTGCTTGGTTCCTCGGTCTAATACTCGAGAGAACTTGCATCGCCATCATCGTGCCAGCGCCCAGGCCATATACGCCATATAAGCGTCCACTCTTCCTCTACCAAGGGTGTTGAAATCCGATGACTAAAATTTAGGAGATATCATGTGAGGATGTTGTATATGGTGTTTAGATACTAATAAAAAAATTTTTTTACAGAATCCATCAGTACTCCACGAGACGAATATATTAAGCCTAATTAATCCATCATCAGCATAAGTTTACTGTAGCACTATATTGTCAAATCATAAACTAATTAGGTTTAAAAGATTCGCTTTGTAAATTAGTCATAAGCTATGTGTTTTTCGTAATTAATCTGTATTGAATACTCTACTTATATATCGAACGTCCGATGGAACACCGAGCAGGAGAAACCAAACAGCCTGAAGCCACCGGCACGCTACAAAGCGGCGATTTTCCTAGCCTTCCCGTGCGGCGTGAGCACCATGACATATGCCGCCATCAGAGCGTGACCGTCAGACTCGGACCAAACGGTATGGGGAGGAAACCACAGAAAACGAAATTAAAGCAGACGGACCAGCTGACCAAGCAGGCAAGCACACAGTGACACAGCACTGGCAACTCGGGTCCTTTCGCTGGTTTGCCTCGCCGAAAGCTCCGAAACCGGCTGCCATGTTCCTGCTGTCCACTTCTCGCTCTCTGCCTCTGTATATATGCCGTATCTGCCGGCCGGCTCGCCCGCGCCCGTTTCGTTTGCCACTTTGCCGTGACGAGGACCTGACTCCTGAGGATACTCTTTACCAAAAGCCACCAGGCAAGTTTTCCTGGAACCAGTCACCGCTAATCTTGTAGTAGCTTTTAGTTAGCAAGAACCCTCGCCCTCTGAAAACCCTTTGTCCCTTTGTTTTTCTAAGAAGAAGAACTCTGCCTTTTCGCGCCCGGGTTCCTTGTTCTTTTTTTTATAAGGTGAGTTCCTTGTTCTTGTTTGCTTGCTGCTCTTCTGTTCTTGGGACCAGCAAATATAAAGTGTGCGGGAGTAGAGTAGCGTAATAATAATAACACATAACAAGTGGATTTACATTTTTTCCTTGGGCCTTGTCACCGCTAATCTTGTATTAGCTTTTTTTAGCAAGAACCCTCGCCCTCTGAAATTTTTTTGTCCCTTTGTTTTTCTAAGAAGAAGAAATGTGCCTTTTCGCGCCCGGGTAATTTGTTTTTTTTGGAAATCACGAGATCCTTGTTTTTGCCTGCTTGCTGCTCTTCTGTTCTTGGGACCATATTTGCAAATATAAAGTGTGCGGGAGTAGAGTAGCGTAATAATAATAACACATAACAAGTGGATTTACATTTCAACTCTTGGTTACCTCTGAGCTCCGGAAAAGGACGTGACCGAGAGACTGCGAGGGTGTGTCGTGTGTGGGGGAGAGAGAAGGGGAGGACCGGCGAGGAGGAGAAAGGAGGAGAGAGAGAGAGAGAGAGGACCTGTGTTGCCCCCCCCCCCCATTAAAAAGCACACACGCCGCTGAGCTCTACTAGCACAACTGCTCCCTCCGCCCATCTCTCTTGCGGCGGTGGAGGATTAGGAATTGAGCTCACGGCAAGCTCGGGGAGTTACTGATCAGAATCCATCTGATTCCCACGCGCGCAGGCGCAGCTGCATTCCGCGTTCCCAGGCGGCGGGAGGCGGGTCTTGATGCCAGAAACGCTCTCTCCGCGTCGCTCTCGGCGGCAGCGGCGGGGCAGAGCGCCGTGGTGACTGGTGAGAAGAAAAGAAGCCGTGCTTGCTTCAGAGTGTCGGTGGTGCCGCCGTGCCGGTGTCCCATTTCCTCCGCGCGACTGTTGTTCTAGCCTTCAGTTCCCGGCGGCGGCGATGGCGCCAGGCCTGGGGCTGGCCTACCCGTGGGGGAGGGATGTCCGGCGGGGCACGCCGGTGGTGGTGACCATGGAGAACCCCAACTACTCGGTGGTGGAGATCGACGGGCCCGAGGCGGAGGCGCTCCGGGCTGGCGGCGTGCCTCCCACCATGGACAAAGGCCGGGGCCGGAGCGCCAAGCAGTTCACCTGGGTGCTGCTCCTCCGCGCGCACCGTGCCGCCGGGTGCCTCGCCTCGCTCGTAGCCGTCACCTGGGCGCTGCCGTCGGCCGTTGCGAAGCGTTTCCGGCGGGCCGCCGCCGCCGAGGGCCTCGGCCACGGCCACGGCCGGGGCTGGCTTCTCTACAGGTTCATCAAGGGGCTCTTGGCGCTCTCCGTGCTCGCCCTCACCGTCGAGCTGGCGGCCTACTGGAAAGGGTGGCACTTTCAGAGGCCGAATTTGACCGTGCCTGAATTGCATGTGCCGGAGGTGGAGGACATTCAGGGGTGGCTGCACACGGCGTACCTGGCCTGGATGTCGTTCCGAGCGGACTACATCCGGCGGCCGATCGAGTTCTTGTCCAAAGTTTGCATTTTGCTGTTTGTTGTCCAATCGTTGGATCGGCTCGTCTTGTGCATCGGGTGCTCCTGGATTAAGCTCAGGAAAATCAAGCCAAGGATCGAAGGGGACCCATTCCGGGAGGGTTCAGGGTATCTGCACCCAATGGTGCTTGTTCAGATTCCTATGTGCAATGAAAAGGAGGTAAGGAGCTGAGTTTCCTTATGCAGCTTCTGATGTGCTGGTTCATTGGGTTGTGGATGACAGAATCATTCTTGCAACAGGTCTATGAGCAGTCGATTTCAGCCGTCTGCCAGCTAGATTGGCCTAGGGATAAGTTTCTAATCCAGGTGCTTGATGACTCGAGTGACGAGAGCATTCAAATGTTGATCAAAGCAGAAGTTTCTAAGTGGAACCAGCAGGGTGTGAACATTATCTATCGGCATCGGGTGTTGAGGACTGGGTATAAAGCTGGGAACCTCAACTCTGCAATGAGCTGTGACTATGTCAAGAATTTCGAATTTGTTGCCATCTTTGACGCGGACTTTCAACCAAGCCCTGATTTTCTCAAGAAAACAATCCCACATTTTGAGGTAAGAGTTGTGTATTCAATTCTACTATATCAGCTGCTGTGTGTCCACTTCATACTATAGTGCAAATCTTTGGGTGATTCAGGGGAACCCTGAGCTTGGACTAGTTCAAGCCCGATGGAGCTTTGTGAACAAGGATGAGAACCTCTTGACCCGCCTTCAGAATATCAACCTTTGCTTCCACTTTGAAGTGGAGCAGCAGGTCAATGGGGTCTTCTTGAACTTCTTTGGGTTCAATGGAACTGCTGGAGTTTGGAGGATCCAAGCTTTGGAAGAATCAGGAGGCTGGCTTGAGCGGACAACCGTGGAGGATATGGATATTGCTGTTCGCGCACACCTGAATGGATGGAAGTTCATCTTCTTGAATGATGTGAAGGTACATTTGAATAACTATAGCATTTCACATAGCAATCGGTGTGATGTCCTGATGTCCATGTGGAAACTGATTTTTCTTGGCATCATCATCATCATCCAGGTCTTGTGTGAGGTTCCAGAATCTTATGAAGCATATCGGAAACAGCAACACCGGTGGCATTCTGGCCCAATGCACCTTTTCCGGCTGTGCCTTCCGGACATAATTACTGCCAAGGTATGCAATCCTGATAGCTCGAAGTTGGAACTTGTGCTGGGGATCAAAGTTCCTTTTCTCGGGGGTATGAATCAATATTTTTCTTTTGACGAAAATTTGCTACTTTGAATGCAGATCTCCACATGGAAGAAGGCAAATTTAATACTATTGTTCTTTCTTTTGAGGAAGTTGATACTTCCTTTCTATTCTTTCACATTATTTTGTGTCATTCTTCCACTAACCATGTTCGTTCCCGAGGCCGAGTTGCCTGTGTGGGTCATCTGTTATGTGCCGGTTTGCATGTCCTTCTTGAATATTCTGCCATCCCCAGGATCATTTCCCTTCATTGTACCATACCTCCTCTTCGAGAACACCATGTCAGTGACCAAGTTCAATGCAATGGTCTCTGGATTGTTCAAACTTGGGAGCTCCTACGAATGGGTTGTCACCAAGAAGTCTGGTCGATCATCTGAATTGGATCTCTTGACATCAGCAGAAAAGAATAGGAAGTGCATCACACTTCCTCAGCTCCAGAAGCGATTGCCTGAAAACAGTGAATTGATCGAGATCAATGCGCGAAAGGAACAGCGAGAGAAGGTGCCAGATGACGCCAAAAAGGCTAACAAGATCTACAAGAAGGAGCTTGCTCTTTCTCTGCTCCTACTCACTGCTGCGACAAGGAGCCTCTTGTCTGCTCAAGGGATTCATTTCTACTTCCTTCTGTTCCAGGGGGTGTCATTCCTTGCCGTTGGCCTTGATCTAATTGGTGAACAGATAAGTTGATTCCTTGCATGCTATTGTTCAGACAGCATGGAAATCACGCATATGTTCATACATACAGTGATATTCAAAATTCTAAACTTCCCGTTCATGCTTAGAATTTTGCTTCAGAATTGCAACCCTGCTCAACGACAAAGGGGAGTGCAATTGGTTCTGCAGTTCAGTTCAGATTCAGGGCACAAACCCGGAAAGCCCAACAGTACGTAATAAACTGAAGAGTAGATAGCTCTTGTTCATCTGTACACTGTCAGTAAATGTTCCAGCAGTGTTCATATATAGAGTTCTATTCCGCCGATGTTCTTTGAATTCATAAACACTGAAAACGTGTACCGTGTTCATTTGTAAATCATGATACGCGAAATTGGTTCCGAAGAAGATAAACTGTGAACATGTACAAATTCTGTTTGATATTTGTCGCCCTCCTAGCTAGGTGAATTGCATTGCAGTCTACTATCTTGTTATCTGTCGGTGGATCTGCTTTCAGAGTTCTAGCCAACAGGCAGGTAGTTGGATCAACTATTGGTGCAGTGAACTTTGTTCTCACGCACCATCATAACTTCATAAGGGCATCTAGCAATTTATTTGTGGTGCACCGGCGTCACAATTGTCCTCTCACTTTCGTTGAAGATGCTATTGCAGGGTTCCAGCTACCTCTGTCCTGATTACTAGCGATGACTGGTACGTGCCAGCAGGTTGCTACTTGCAACTGCTAAGATCTCTGATCCAAGAAGTAAACACAGTTCAGATAATCAGATGTGCAAAACTGAATTGTGGAGATGGGATTTCACTTCCTGTCATCTGAAAGTTTCTGAACAGTGCGAAAAGAAAATTGGTAAACTTGCCTTGACAGGTCAATACAAGCAGCCAAAATTCTGTTCATGCTTCATTCAATACGTGAAACGCTGGCCATTTCTGTTGTGCCAACGTTTTATTAGTCCAAATTTTGTTGATTTACCATTTGAAATAAAAAAAATTGCTGATTATCTCGCAGTGCCAACTAGTACTACTTTCTTTCCCATCTAAAGTAAAGCACCCCAGTGCAATACTACAAAGGAAATGATGCTGCTGAACTTTTTTTTTTTTTCTTTTTCTTTTTGAGATGCTACTGAGCTGCATTGAGATGGAAGAAGTACAACAGTCCTTAAAAGGTTCTTTTATTCATCTGACAAAGCCATTAAACTTCTTTTTACTCCATTGCTGATCTACGCTTCCAGGCACCATGGTGTCATTAGTGCAGCTCATCTGATGTGATCTGATCTCGCCAGGCCATCAAGGAGGGAGTAAACGCAACTTTGCCCGCCGATCAGCAATCACTCGCTAGTAAAGAGTCACTGATCAGCAGAACAGCAGTACAACTATTGCCTGTGATTGCACATGAACATGAGCACAGAGGTAACGTGAGCACTGCTTGTTTGGAAATGCAACTCCAAGTGCCTCCAAAGTTTCCAAAATTTTGCAAAATTTTTCAAGATTCTCCGTCACATCTAATCTTTGGACACATACATGAAGCATTAAATATAAATAAAAAATAAAACTAATTACACAGTTTAGATGAAATTCACGAGATTCACGAGATGAATCTTTTAAGTCTAATTAGACTATGATTAGACACTAATTGTCAAATAACAACGAAAATGTTACAGTACTCATTTTAAAAAAAAATTCGCCAACTAAACACAGGCCCAAGATGAAGATGAACCATCGGTGCTTGTGATTGTCCAACGTACGTCAGTACGAAACACATGTTTTTTGCAGATTGTTCCCATGATGTGTCGGTGGGGAGACAGGAGGGCTGGTGGGAGAACTGTTGGGCACCAGAACATCTCTAACTGCAACCAATGGAACAGCGGCAGCGGAGCCCGCTGCTCTCCGCGGATCCGTATCGCGGGCTCACGGCCGCCGTTGTTCAGCGGCACAGCCATGTGCGTAGGTAGGACCTCGACGGCCTCGCTCGCTCCCTATCGGCCCCCCTGGCGCGATGGGAAGGGAATGTCACATTTTTGGCAAGGCATAATACGCGGCGTTGATTTGACAGACGGTGACGGTGGACAAATGGAGGCCGGCCGATGCGGGCGACGCCGACACGACGGGGAGGGGCCGGCCTCGTGCTGTCGTGCATGCGAGTGGTTCGGGGCGCAGCTCCGCGGTGTCGGCCGAGGTGTGCCAAACGGCTGCTCTGTGCTGTGTCAGACCGAAGAATTCACTTGAGTGCGTGTTTGGTTGGTGGGCAAAACCTGCCAGGATAAAGGTTGGTCGTGCCACGGTTTCTTCGGTGGCTGTTTGGTTCACTGTACACACCTACGACACGTTATACTTTCTTAGCATCTTGCCCTATATGTGATAGACTTAATTTCGTGCCAAATCTTGTTACAAGTGTGGCTTCGATTTTGGTCGCCACATTTTCTTTAACAACCATAATTTACCGAAGTTTAGGCATAGTAAGTTCGTCTTGTTCGTTTGGGTTTGTTTGGCTGATAAGTCATGACTGAAAATACTGTTAACTAATTTGGTATGAAAAAAATATTATTTGTTGACTAAAAAAATATGATTTATAAATCAAACAAGCCCACACAAACACGGACGGAGGAGCTATGTGGGGGCGGGTCCTGGCCCCCCTTCTCCGGCTGCAGAGGTCCGGGTACTACCGTTTTCAGTGACTTCAGGTCCACAGTCCACTTGGCCTTTCGCTCACTTCTTCGTCGCATTACATGTCCTACAGGTTCTGTGCTTCCTCGTCCTTTTCCTTCCAATAACAGAGAGGCCTGCAGCTGCTCCTGAACGCTTGTACCAGAAGAAGAAGAAGAGCATTCGACCATTCCTGATACCACTCTTACCATGGACCGTGTGAGTGGATACTATCACAATATCTGGTTAGTTGTGTTAGATGGTTGTCTTAGGGTGCGTTTGGTTTGCTCAATATCCCTAGATGGGAGATAGCGGTCCAAGGACAAACGGTGTTTGATTCGTGGACGAGCGGATATGGATATCACTGACAGGGAATATTCTCTTGATGCTGGATATCATTGCCACCAAAAAAATTGTCTGACGAGCTCATCCATGTTTTCTAATCTTCATCAATAATAAATAATTAATGATTATTAGTTTGTTATATTATTGCTTAGTAATTATGATGTCAAGATTAATTTTGATAAGTGCTAATAGGTTAATTAGTATATGTTTTGTATTATAATTAGGATAATAATTATGCTAATTAACATATTTTATTTTTTAGTAAATTAACATATTTTATTTGTAATATCGGAAGCAACAAAAACAAATCTCTTCTGGAAGATGTACAGGATTTGCATGTCCTCTCTCTCATTTTTTTTTCTGCCCAGCGGGCCGTGACGGCCCACGGCACCCTGTTGAATTTCTAGCTACGGCCCATACAGGTTCCAGTGGCTGGTGGATAGGCCTACCGAGACCGTCCTGAGGAGCGCACGTGCATGGGGTAAATGCTGCCCACGGGCCACGGGCCACGGGCCACGGGGCGAAGTGGACGTGCACATGAGCACATCACATGCCGCGGCAGCAAGAGAGCGCGCACGGCTGTTACACTAGCAGGGCCCTGATTGTTAGCCATGCCAGTCGTCCAACAGAACGCGCATTAAACTTGGGGAGCTGTAAGTTAGGGGGTGCACGGTTCCTCCTCTAGACTTTAATCGTTGTCTCATCGGATATTTGACATATGTATAGAGTATTAAATATAGACTAATTACGAAACTAATTACATAGTTTACGATTAATTTACGAGATGAATCTTTTAAGCCTAATTAGTCCATGATTTGACAATGTAGTGCTACAGTAAACATATGCTAATGATGGATTAATTAGGCTTAATAAATTCGTCTCGTGGAGTACTGACGGATTCTGTAATTTATTTTTTTATTAGTATCCGAACACCCTATACAACACCCTCACGTGATACCTCCTAAATTTTAATCTCTGAATCCAGACAGCCCCTTACTTAGCTAGGTTCGTCGTCGTAAAACATGTACTCACTCTATCTTAATAAAGAGAATACAATTATTCTCACTTTGCTTGAAATCAACAATTTCATACTTGATCAATTCATCAATACGAAAAATTACTAGCATTTATAATACCAAATAAATATCATTAAAATGTTATGAAATATATTTTTATAGAAAATGTAGAGACATTAATAATGATACTATTTTTCATAAATTTGGTCAGCCTCGAGAAAACTTGGCTCATTTCAAATATAGAATTGCATTTTTGGGGACATTAGGGAGTATGTCTAGATTTAGGGTTATTTTGATCCATACCATTATAATTATCGGAGTTCTGAGATATGCCATTACAATTCATCTATTTTGAAATATGCCATTATAATTCTACATCTACATGATTCTTACCATTTTCTACGTCATGCGGTTGTCTACGAGTACTCATCTTTCGTATAGACTAAAATGCCCCTACTACTTCTCTCCTTCCACTTGCTGACGTGTGGGTCCCACCCACGTCGCCTCCTCCTTAACCTCCACCCGCGTCCATGGCGGTGGTGGTCGGTGGTCGCAGTGCTCTGTCTGGCGGGCGCCCGCGATGGCCTGCCATGCCAGGCAGGCAACAAGACCAGCCACCACGCCGAGGTCATGGTGCCTACCCGCGCGAGGCCACGGCGCCCACCCATGCGAGGAGGTGCATGCCGCCCCCCCCCGTCCGAGAGCACGCCATGGCCACCGCAAGCTCGCCCACCGAGATCCGTCGGCCGCCATCGCCGGATCCAGTCAGGGCATAGCACCCCGCGGCGGCGCTCAACCTATACGGTGGAGGAGCAGGGCGGATGGAAAAAAAAGAAAAAAAAGCCAGTCAGGGCTCTTCTTCGTCTCGCCGCGTGGACGGGCGTGTCACGCGGAGGGCCAGCCGGGCCTCGGTGAGCGCGTCGCGGGGAGGTAGGAAGCCGGCGTGGATCTCGGCTAAGCGAGCTCATGGCGGCGTGAAACTTGCGGGCCGGCCATGGCGTGCTCACCGGAGCTTGT